TTTGAAGTGGCAATTCATGGAAAAGCATTTTTTACAACATTATCAGAAGACTGATTTATTTCAAAGTTCCACAGCTGTAAAAATTAATGTCATACATTTGTCTGCAGCTGTTCATGAATATTTATTGAGAAATGCAAGTTTTAGAAATAAAGTAATGTCCCCTCATAAGGAAATTAGTTTGAATCGTGTACAAATATACATTAGTCGTTCTACGTCAAAGTTGTAATGTATTTACTAAAGATGCATTCCAGAGACTAAATGCCTACAAGAGTAATATTACAGTTCTTAATAGTATGCCTAGTTGTAAAAAACTGTATATTTACTCATTAAGGAAGCATCGCTAATTATAAACTCACTCTCTCTAACCGTTTTTCCAAGTTAAGCTCTAAATATTCGAAAGTGTTATAAACTCACTCTGTCTACCGTTCTTCCAAGTTAAGCTCTAAATATTCAAAAGTGTTGTAAACTCACTCTGTCTACCGTTCTTCCAAGTTAAGCTCTAAATATTCGAAAGTGTTATAAACTCACTCTGTCTACCCGTTCTTCCAAGTTAAGCTCTAAATATTCGAAAAGTGTTCGTCCACATGTTTAAGTTTAGTTCACTCTGTCTCCCCTTTCTTCAATGTTAGGCTCTATAAATTCGAAAGTGTTATAAACTCATTCTGTCTACCCGTTCTTCCAAGTTCAGCTCTAAATATTTAAAAGTGTTCGTCCACATGTTTAAGTTTAGTTCACTCTGTCTCCCCTTTCTTCAATGTTAGGCTCTATAAATTCGAAAGTGTTATAAACTCACTCTGTCTACCCGTTCTTCCAAGTTAAGCTCTAAATATTTAAAAGTGTTCGTCCACATGTTTAGGTTTATTTAGAAATAGTAGTTCCATAACTTAGGTTTCATCAGGTGAAAACCTGTGCAATCAGATGGATAATAATCTAAAACAAGTGAAACAGAAAATACAAATAAGCGAGCCTTCCAAGATAAAGCTGAATAAACGTATCTTTGTTTTTCGTTGCTTTTGAACAACTCCTTCACTCAACTTTGTTTGTATGTATGTTTTCTAGAGATTAGAATGACTGGTAGTGAATGGTGGGCATTGTATACAAAAAGCAATGCCTGTCGTTCCGTGATAGATTGAAGCGGATGGTCCCTATACGTTTATCATTACACCCCACGCCACGTTATCTTGGCACGTATATATTTTACATCGTTACAAATCACTCAGCGCGTCATCTTACTCGCAACATGAAGCCAACTGAGATTATTAAATATTCTTGAACAAGAAAGGTATCTTGAGTATAAGTATTCCTAACCAACTTATAACTTTAAAAGATCGAAAGAAGGTCTAAGAAAAATACCAATTTTACTTCTTTTATTTTATTTTCTTAGCATTATTATTGTTTGTCAGTTCATCCGAGTCAATCTTGCAGCGACACGAAGTTGTTACTCCGTATTATTATTATTAATACTCTCAATATTCCTTAATAACTTCCAGTCCATTGTAGTAGTAATCATAGATACAAGCTGGACCTTAGTAACAACTCAGACTGGATTTAGATTTCCTATGTATAAACGAGAAAGAGCCATAAATGTTCACATTTCGATAAAGGTACTATTTTTTATTTCCATTGAAATCCAAAATTGATAAATACACTATAATATAGTAGTTCTATTACTGTATGTTACTGTGAACACTACTTACGTAGAGACGTGAAAAACTGCGACAAGATGCAATAAAATCAATTTATAAATATCAATTTATCTTAATAAAAAGGGGGTTTCCTAAATGAAAAAAAAAACTGGTAATCGGAGTTTAAGGAATGATAAAGGAATATTGCTTGGCATACTAATGTTGAACCTTGATTGTATTTTACACAATACAGGTATGGATATGATATAACTAGTCGAAATATTGAGCCATGATAAAGGACTATTGCTTGGCATACTAATGTTGAACCTTGATTGTATTTTACACAATACAGGTATGCATATGATATAACTAGTCGAAATATTGAGCCTCTAATCGAAGGTTCTCAGTGTTTATAGAAATAAATACAGTTTCTACAAGTACTCATTAGCTCCAGAGTACCTTGGAGCATTTTAAAAAAGTTCCCCCAGTGACATAGCGGTATGCATGCGGACTTGCACTGCTAGAAACCGGGTTTCGATACTCGTGGTGGGCAGAGCACAGATAGCCCATTGTATAGCTTTATGCTTAATTATAAACATTTAAACAATAGGCAGATATAAATTCTGGAATAAAAAAGATACAGCGATGTGGAAGTTATTTCTTATTTTTGGTTACATTTTAAAACTACAATTCATTCCCATAAATACACAAAATATTACCAGTTTACAATATAAAAAAAAAGTTACAGGATTAACCCTTATATTTGTTTGATAACTGACTTAAGAAAAACAGAGTGGCAACTACCTCTGGTGATCAAGATAAGCTTAGATAATACCCTACCACCACCACACACAAACACAGATTCTATATTGAAGGCGGAAGGACACTACAAGAAACGAACAATGATTTTAAACAACAAACCTAAAAAACACATTATATGAAAGCAGTTATAAGCTGAAGTGTTCTCTGGCCAAAATTCATAGTATAACGATTACTTTAATAGATTTCAATCATACAATCCCACCGAGGCCCAGCTATAAACTGGACAGTTTATAATGCGAAAAAATCGGGGCTTACTTCCTACCGCGGACACGATGTAAATAACACAAACAATATGTATAATGCACTAAAACATCAATTATTAATTCAGACAGGAGTTACATTTAGAACAGTTATATGGATTAACGTAAACTCCTAACAATACATTAAATTCAATTTTCAGCGTTCCGTTAACTATTGTGTCAGATCAAAAATATGACTGTGTGGATTAAAATAACATTAGATCCTACAGGTATCTCATATTTTATTTTCTACGCTAACTTAAATGAAATCTATTCATTGTCACTCCTTTGCTAAAAAGGTTTCTTTGTTTGTTATGGGTTCGCGCAAAGCTACACAAGGGCTATCTGCGCTAGCCGTCCCTAATTCAGCAGTGTAAGACTAGAAGGAAGGCAGCTAGTCATCACCACCCACTTGGGCTACTCTTTTACCAACGAATAGTGGGATTGACCGTCACATTATAAAGCCCCCACGGGTGAAAGGGCGAGCATGTTTGGTGTGACCCACTGATTGCGAGTCGAGCGCCCTAACAGCTTGGCCATGCCGGGCAGTTGCTAGAAACGAGACTTAATTGTGTGAAACAACGTCATCAGTGTGAGTCGTTGTTTTATCTCGCACATTATTCACTTAATACACACAAATAAAGCAAGCAAAATGTGAATAAATTAAGCAGATGAAGGTAATATAAAACAATTTATGAGTCACGAAGTTTGTTTGTCGTTGTTCAAGAGTATTTAGAGAAACAAATGTCATCTCATTTTGAAATTTTTCGATTAACTTTACGTCTTGGAATGTTTCCCATGGCAACTAATATATTTTACTCTCAACAGAAAGTAAAAGATATATATATCATAAATAAATACAATCTTCCAAATGGGAGCATTATGAATAGAAACATAGAAAGCTCAGCATGTTTAGACATTTTTACAATTTCGTAAACCTTGATAATTCAATATTTCTTAGAAAATATATTCGGTACAAAATACCCATTACAAAATAGAACCCATTATTTACAAAATAGAACCCATTTTAATTCCTAAACCTCGTCCTTGCCATTTGAACGTAACGACAATTTCAATTCCAAAACTGTATCCATGCAAATTACATAAAAATAACATCAATTTTAATTCTAAACAGCACCTGTGTTACTTGAATAATAACACCATGTTACTAAGAATTTAATATATACGTTTTCTTTTAAATAACTACTTTCCCAAAGTTAAGTTGAGTATTTTGTTTTGAAGTTGCGTTTGATCAATGATATAATTAAAGTTTCTTTTTTTCCCTTCAAGGATCTTATTCAACTGACTAGTTTATGTTTAAATTAATTAAATACGCTTGTTTTTGGTGACATATAGCCTTAAATCACGTGATGCGTTTAAGGGTTTGCATGATGTATTTAATATAGAGTGGGAATCCTGCATACTTCAAACCTACAAAGTATGCTGGGTAGGATTTAAAGTCACGCTTACCCCTGTATACTAAATACCTACTTTGAATATTTCCAACAAACTGGCAAACGTCTAAATCATTCATTCTTACCTTCTGATTAACCTAGAAATCAGAATCAATTAGAAATGGCTTTCCATTTTTTTTCCAGGAGGAAAATTACTTTCCGTGGCTTATCTCTAATGAAACATCAGGTAATTTAAAAACGAGTTCCAGTCTCTTTGTGCGTCCTTGCTGTGATTAATGTATTATATAAAACTTTTATAATCAAAGTAAGAATTATTTCTAATGACACAAATGTATTATCAACTGTCTACTAGTGGGCATAAACATAGGGTAATCTCACATGAAGCCTAGACACTCTTCATTAAAGTTGCTATTGAATTTTATTCATTAAAACGAAAAACATGCAGTAGAGTATGTCACGCGGTAAAAGTAATTTTCGTGTTTTTGTAAAGAATAAATTACCTGATATTTTCTGTGTTATATTAATGTGATAGAAGTAAGAATCGCTATTCAACAATATGACTCGCATTGTTAAACACCATCTTTCATTATCTTATTCTCCCTCTAAGGCGGACCGATGATAATGTATTATTTCTCAAAGCAGATCGATGATAATGTATTATTTCTCGAGACTGTCTTACATTTTAACCACGTACAACTTTTTGAAATAAAAACCGAATTACAATATTAAATTGTAGGCATATAAAAAATGTAACACTAAAGTAAGTTAGTATTTAACTTATTATTCCTTTTGAGTTATCGAAGTGAAAGTACAGTTGTTATCGGAGAAAATTATACTTGAAACTGCTTACGAGCGTAATGGTTTTTCTCAGGCGCCAATACATGTAATAAAGTTATCGGCTAAGGATAAACTAACGCTTTTTCTAAGCATATCATATCATCAGTATGAAGTGCAGGTGCTGTACCTTGTCTCCTGTGGATTACACCGGTCTGGAGTGCTGGTGCTGTACCCTGTCTCTTGTAGGTTACATCTGTATGGAGTGCTGGTACTGTATCTTGTCTCCTGTAGATTACCTCTGTATGGAGTGCTAGTGCTGTATCTTGTCTCCTGTAGATTACCTCTGTATGGAGTGCTAGTGCTGTATCTTGTCTCCTGTAAAATATCTCTGTAAGGAGTGCTGGTGCTGTATCTTGTCTTCTGTAGATTACCTCTGTATGGAGTGATAGTGCTGTATCTTGTCTCCTGTAGATTACCTCTGTATGGAGTGCTAGTGCTGTATCTTGTCTCCTGTAGATTACCTCTGTATGGAGTGCTAGTGCTGTATCTTGCCTCCTGTAGATTACCTCTGTATGGAGTGTTAGTACTGTATCTTGTCTCCTGTAGATTACCTCTGTATGGAGTGCTAGTGCTGTATCTTGTCTCCTGTAGAATATCTCTGTAATGAGTGCTGGTGCTGTATCTTGTCTTCTGTGGATTACGTCTGTTTGGAGTTTTGAACTGACTGCGTTACGTTTTCTGTTGCTGTGAGGGCATTTCATGTGGTTCAAATTTTGTAAGATTTCTACATGGACTAAGTATAAAGCTTTATGATTGAGCCTGGTACTTTGATTGGTCGCTCGGATATATATATTGGAAAGTCCAAGGTTCGAGCCACGGAAAATATTCTACATTTTCAGAGTACTTTGTTCAACTTTGGGCATGATGATTGGTAAAACAAAATACGAGACCTAGCTAACTAATGAATGAATATTTGCTCTAAAATTATTATCAGTGCTATAAGTGTAGTTACCAGTTTGACTGCCCATTTTGATTTCATTCCCTTAAGTCGCACACTCAATTATTTTTTCACACCTAAGGTGTTTTTGATTAAATATCATGTCTTTTTCTCAATACGCACCAACAGACCACAGCAAGTAAGAAAGTGACACTCGATAGTAACTAACATTATCTTTACGATTGCAACCCTATTATTCGGTACATACCTTTACTTTACAGAACCAATCAGATCCTTTAAAATACATGGTGGTAATTTTACACCCCCCCTCTAAAACAGTGTTAATAGCTTCCTTTATAGTTGTAGTAGTAGGCTTCCTTCGGCCAGGTTTGACCATGGATGAGCATCCGTCCATTGTTAGCTCATGTTGATCGCTCCTCTAGAGCAGCGTCTCTTGTGACTAAGGAGACCGACACGAGAGTGACAGTCCCGGTTGCAGAGGTCACATAAGATATGGATGGATGTAAGCCTGGGTATTCTGATATGGGGAACAGGCTGTTGCCCGCGCAACTTGCCCCCCCCCCTCTCCACCTCGATGACGGCGCCAAAGGAACATCAGTACTGATACAGTTTTCCTTTATAGTAACACCATGGAATTTAAATTTCTTGTCATCACCCCCGTGCAATCGGTACAGCCGTATCAACCATCATTATTCATGCTAATTTCTTAGCTAATATCACTGACGCTAAATGCTATTGGAGTTGGATAATTTTATAGAATTTAGTAAACTTGTGCTGAAAAGTTGGCAATCAATAATCAATAATAACCGTCCACCCGTTTGATTATTTTTGACAACTTGAGTTAGAAACTGCTAATCTAATTTGCTTGGCCTAACCAATACTTATGTATCTGCACGTCCTTCACCTTATAGTTTTGCTGCTCTAAATCAGCCGTCTTTAATCTGAAATACAAGAAACTGAAAACTGTCCACTTTTACTCTTAGGTGAAGCTATAGCAAAAAATGTTAGACCGATAGCTAACGTGACTTTTTCGTAGGCGTGCACAATTTTTTGTATTAAATTTGAGCGTTTTTCGTTGAATAATTTTGTAATTGTGCTTTTATTTACATCAAATGAGACTCATAATTGTAGGTTATAAAGATCTATCAGTGTACTAGATTTTTAAAAAAATCCATAAAAGTTAAGTATATTTTTTCTGTCAAATAAAGTTTCCGTACTTTTGATTTAATTTCAATGTATGAAGTTTACACAAAGCTACACGAGGGCTATCTGCGCCAGCCGTCCGTAATTTAGCAGTGAA